ACATCCGGGGTAGAATCTACGCTAATTGAATAATATTTGGCATGCTTTACTTCCTCAATAATTTTTTTTGTAGTTAAAGTTGCCATTATGTCAATAAATTCATCGCATATAGTTTTGGATAAATAAGAAGTGTGGCCTCTTCCCTTATTTGCCTTTTTCTCTAAATAATTTTTTAAAAAGTGATCAAATTTTGCAATTAATTCGAGCGTGGCTAAATAATTTCCACATCCTTCTTCTCCTATTTTTTCAAAACTTCCCCGAAATGCTAATCCTTGCTTTGATAAAAACTTCACAGCGGCTATTAACCTTTTTAAAACATTTCGCCAATATTCCTTTTCCGCAAGGTACTGTTTTTCTATAACAATGTCTATTTTGGCAAGAGTTTTTGATCCTAATATATAAGTTTTTGTATTTTCTCTATGCCCTGCTGACTTTTCATGTTCACCAAGTCTTTGCAAATGTTTCCAATTATTAAACCCATCGACAAATAATGTCTGCTTAGAAGATCCGAATAATTTACATTGTAAACAATAAACCATATTAGTTAAGTTAGAATACAATAACCACTCTCTGCGAACAATTTCACCGTTTATAAATTTAGTATAAAATATTTTTTTTGAAGCATATCTACTTCGCTTCTCACTCGGGTAATCTCTTTTAGATTTTTCAAAATCAATCTTATCCAAATCTTGTGTAAAAGGAATTTTTATTAAATATTCAATAAATTCCTTATTAACATGCCATGTAGCAGGGTCAAGAGAAGGGTTTATTTTTTTTTTTGAAAAATTGATCCAATTTTGGAACTTTTTTCAAAAGTTCTTCTGTCTTCTCTTCTTCAATTTGTAGATTTTTTCTACGGGTCGCGCCACTTTTATTTGTCTTAAAATCTTTATTAAAAGGCACAGAATCCTCTGTATTGAAAGGATAAATAAATATAACTTTTTAATAAACACCAAACTAAATACTAAATTTTAATCTAAAACCAGAAACAGCATCAACAGTTAGATACACTATTTGTCTAAAAGTTTTAAAAACACAAACCGCCACTTATAAGTAAACTAATTTAACATCAATTTCCAAATGTTTTTGAAACACACAAATCGCCAATGTATACGTTTTCAACTCACAAGTTTATAAAGAACTGCAAAAACTGGCAATGTTTATAAATATTGTGATTTCTATGACTATTTCCCTCGTCTTGATTTCCACCAATCACAAACACGCAATTTTGAATTACAAATGGTTTCAGTGGCGTAGCGACAAATTTCGGGCCCCCCCGCGAAAATCCTTACTGGGTCCCCTGATTTCAGGTATTTTTTACATGGTTTTATATTGTAAATAAAAAATAATACATCCGGTGACATGATTTTTTAAATTATTTATAAACGAAAAGTAAAAAGTAACGAAAAAATAATTAAAAAAAAAATAAGGTTCTCCATTGTACCTACTTATAAATTATAAGTAAAATAATAGAAAATAATATATTATTTTCTATTATTTTACTTATAAGTTATAACATATTTTTTTAACATAAAAAAGTAACCAATATACCCATGGATGTTCACTATAGTTTAATATATATCCACTATAATTATATCAAAACGTAACTAGTATCTTATTTTAAAATTTAACTAAAATCGTATCAACTAATAGGTATATTTAGTTAATAATATTTACTCAGTAACTCTATATATTAAACTCTCTATAATATTAAACTAACCTATAATAAAAGAAATACTTACATGTAAATACTAGACCACTTTGTGCTCACCACAGCTGACCGGCGAGAAACGCATGTAAAACAGTGGAAAAATAAAATAATCAGAAGCAGTCACAAATAAGAACCTACTTGAACCAATACGAATATAAAACAAAAACAAACTAACAACTTGTGAATCACAATCGTCAAAATTTTAGGGGTTCGCAAAGAGAACGCTTCAGAACTGTCAGAATAATACGCATAACTAAATGCGCATATCTGTTTAGATTTAGGCGCATGTTTCCAAGTTCTGAATCGTTCCTGCGTAAACCCGCTGTTAACTGTTAAATAAGCGCGATTTTTAAAATTCATCAAAAGGTTCCGTTAGATGTTTTACATTTATGTTGTGATGGTAGGCCAATAATATCAAGTACCTACCTACATTTTAGTAAATTATGATATTTTTAATTAATCATTCATTAATATTCAATTTTTAGTATAAGTAAGATGGAAATAAGTATTTTAATGTTTTGGGGCAAGTATCGGCCGGGCCCCCTACGAGGTTAGGGCCCCCCGCTTGGCGGGCGTTCGCGGTACTGTCGCTACGCCACTGAATGGTTTCTAGGTGAAAAAACTGTGTGACAGCACCTGTCAGCAGTTTATTCGAGTTTACCCGCGGCAAAACTTGACAGCAGCTGTTGTCACCAAAAATTGCAATTTATATTTTAATTGTTAACTGTTACTCATGAAATAGTCTTGTCAAATATCATTCGGGCATCTAATTTTTCCTGTGAAAAAAATCGAAAAAACATAATGCTAAGTAATATTTTTTAACAAAAAGCATTCGTGCAGGTGCAAAAATCCTCCTCTTCGACTCGGATTTTTGTTGCCACCAGCACTCATGCTTTTTGTTAAAATATCACTTAGCAACGTGTTTTTTCGATTCTTTTCGGAAAAAATAAATGCCCTTATGATATCATATTACTTACGAAAATCTTATGATATCATATTACTTACGAAAATCTATTTACTTATAATATAGGGGTCAGGGCCGAGCCGTGCCGGGGGTGCAAGGGGTGCATGGCACCCGGGCGGCACTAACACAGGGCGGCAAAATATCATCAAAAAAATTGTATCATATTATCAAGAATAAAAAAGCCACCTTACAATATGCAAAAAACTTTCTAAAAATCACTTGCGTTTTATTGATGTCGGCGTTTCAAGGAATCATCGTTTTTATTCTACACATAAAAACAATGCCAAAATTGTGCTGTCAGGCGGCAATGATAAAAAAGACATAACCGAATGCGCGATAGCCACAAAAAATGATGATGACTTTTCTTAAAGCCCGGTTTATAGATTGCCGCCCGCCCGCTTCGCTTTCCGTCCGTCCGCTTCGAGTTCGTCAAGTTTCATGTTTTCCGGAAGCGGGCGCTGTGTACCACGTGATACTGTTTACAAGCTAAACTGTTAAGTTAAAGCATAATTTCTTCCGATTTGACGGCTGCGTATTTCAGCAATTTTTAGTTTTTCTATTAAGGGGAGGCAAATAGGATGCAAACATAGTAGTTTCTTTTGTCTTTTAATGCGTTTAAGTTAAAAACTAGTAAATGATTTAAAAGGCATCTTTCCGAATTTATTTGTAGCTTTAAGAATATTTTTGACGATGCCAGTTACTGTTGCCCATGGAGAGCGGTCATTTTCGAAATTAAAACTAATTAAGACCTATTTAAGATCCAATATGAGTCAATTCAGGCTTTCAAATTTAGCAATTATAAGTATTGAAGAAGATATTTCTAACAACTTGGATGTAGGCGACTTGATTAGGGAATTTGCTATTAAAAAAGCGAGAAAATTAGATTTTAGTTTTTTAGTTTAGTTTAATTATTTTTGTTTTTTTTCCTGAATGTATTTTTATTTTATTCTTTTATGTATTTGTTAATAAATACTTTGTTATTTTACTATAAAATTTGTTATATGTTTATTGAGAATGATAAATTATGAACTTCTTCCCTACCGACAACCTAATTTTTTACATTAATGGGGGCGGCAAATTTAATCCTTGCACCCGGGCGGCAGTTACCCTAGGCTCGGCCCTGATAGGGGTTATACTTTCGCGCATTAACTTTTGTTTAAAACTGTAAACAGTGTTGCCAGTTTAGAACAAATGTACTAAAGTGTATTTAAATCCAATCTAGTAGATTTGATCTACTGATATGACTATTTTAGTAATTAGGTATTGGTTGCTTCTCTTCTACTATTACAATTTGTAATATGTCATTTTTTGGGCGGTGCATCAACTCGTATAGAGTTGGCGCGCCGCCCAAAAGGGAACGGTCGGCGTGGCGTGCGCCCCCCTTTGGGATTTCGCCCCGGGGCCATGGCCCCAATGGCCCTGTGGTTAATCTGGCCCTGGATGTTTGGCTTGTCGTTGGGTGAACATACATGTTAAGAAATCGATGTTTACGAACAGCAAGAAAGGGAATAGGCCTCTATATGCCCTTAAGGGCATTTATGTTTTGATGAAGCCTTAATATATTTTTATTTTCTATTGCCAGGACTATTTGTAAATCCCAAAGTAGTACTTTCCAAACAAATTACTATGGTTGAAAATTTATACAGTAATTTAAATTTAGGATGATTCATTAAATGAAACATAAGTCGATCAAATAATTAATCATTAAGTTGAAAACAAACATGTACTTACATACTTATCTACACGCACGTATATATACGGAAATACGTGTATATACATATGTACTCAAATAATTTTTAGTAAAATTAGATCCAATATATCGTCGCCTTCAGGAGAAAATCACGTAACTCCACATTTTCATTAAAATTGTATTTTAGTGGCATCTGTTAGATAAAACTGTAACTAATTTATATGCAAGTTACAGAAGTCCTAAAATAAACCGTTAATTTTAAATTTAGAAAAAGAAATATACGTATCTCCAATCGTGGAGGAGCGTCCAGGGAATAATGCCTAACTCCAATATACAAATCAGTGCCATTGACAAGTATAAGTTATTGCCTAGTTATTTTTTCTGTATGTAAGTATGAAAGATTGTATAGTGTGTAAAGTTAAGGTACCATGAATAATTTAAGGTTACTTTTATTAACATAAAGTACATATTGGAGATACGTAATTTTCCATTAAACAATTTTTTGGCGGTAATGTGGAGATACACCAATACACCTTTAATATGTTTTTCTTTCCTCCTGTAAAATTTTACAACATGGAGTTAAGCAATTTTCTCCTGAAGGCGACGATATGCCGATTTAATAAAATTGTACTTACTGCATTTGCGGTCACAAAGAAATTGTTAGGCACTTGAGTTAAAAGTCCAAATGCGTAAAATAAAACATATGTCAATTTGTATTTATCCTGTGTTTGTATTCGAATTTCTTTTTCGCCATTGGTACTATCGACTTGCATGGACATGATTGTTTCTGTGTCTGATTCTAAACTAAAACAAGTGAAACATTAAAATCCTTTGCCTGTTGTTTTATTCAGTGATATTATCCATTGTTTATTAAGATTAATTTACTTACATTTGGTGAACATTAATTAGCTAGGTAAATACAATTTTTTATTTAACTACATATTTAATCTGATAATTACTGTTTTATCTAATGCATATTTTTCTGTAAAGCCCTCTGTTTGGTAGATACGAGGGGCGTTTAAATTTAAACCCGATTTTATAATTTAAAGAATATAATGTCTAAATATAAACGCATCCCACGCTCGGAAAACAGTTATCTACTGCTCGGCATAGGCGGTAGTACGGCGCGCCTCACAGCTGTGAGGCACTAGTGGACTGGAATCGCCGAAAAGTGTCAAAAAATACAATTTAGGTCTTTTTGCAATTGAGTAAATCTAAATTAATATCCCTATAAAAAAAACATTGAATTATTTATTTTTATTTAAAATTATTCGAGTTTGAATGTGACCATCGATATTTAACGTAAAATCACACGTGTATTGTAATCCGTTACATCGAAAATGTAAAATTACAAAACAACTTGAATGGCTTATTTTAATTATATTTGTGAAAATACATATCTTTTGTAAATTTACCACATTCGTAAGAAATTATATTTACATTAAAATTTGTACAATTCCTTTATTTATTTAAGCTTACTTTGTAATTTTACAATATATTAAGTATATTTACTAGGTTTTAGGAAAATTTTATTTACAAAAACATTTGTAAAATTAATCAATATTAAGGTAATTTTAATAACCATGCATGGTTTAGGAAAGATAATAATAAAACAATTTTTAACATTGCAAAAGTACATTTATATTTATTATATTATTACATAAAAAATCAAAATTAAAAAAGTACATTATTAAAACAATAATAATAATAAGGACCTAAGTTTATGTTTTATAATATATATAGAGATTAAAAACATCAAATAAAATATTATCACATTATTTAAAACGTCATGTACATGTACATGTACTTACATAACTAAATAAAAAAATCAAGCAAATAATGAAAACAAACATTTTATTTTCTATAGGAAAAAACATTCTGTTTTTTTTTAATAATTCTATTGAGTTTTTTTATAAAAACAGAAAGTTTTTTTTTACAAAAATAGATCATTTAACAAAATAGTGTATCACTAAAAAACCAAAATACAAAAAATCTCTAAAAACATAATCATATTAACAACTAATAATTAATAACAAACTAAATAAAACAGAAACATTATTAAAATTATAATTATTATTATAGTAAGAGATAATAATTAATAGCTTTGTTCGCGGAGCTCATCCGTGATCAATCCGCGACAACTGCGCATGCGCACTGGCAATTTTAGCGTTCGCGGTGTAAAAATCGGCAACATTTGACATTTGATCACTCGTTCGCGGAGCCTTCGGGACCAGTTTCGAACTAATTACTGACAAGTCAAAACTATCCGAGGATTTTAGCATGTACTAGCTGTCAGACATGCGTATTGTTCATTATTGTTTAAAGTTTATTTTAGGTTATATGTTCTATATTGTTTTTAATTAAATTGTTAAACGAAAACGTAAGTTGAAATACTTATTTTTTACTTGCATTGTTCATTTCCTTGCTTATTTTATAGATGAGTGATCATCTATCATCCAGTGATGAAGATTTAGAAAATAGTTTAGATTTAATTGAAGTTCCTAAAAGTACTGCATATTTTGAAGAAATTGTTCCCATGTTCGATGATCAGCTATTTAGGGAGCATTTTCGAGTTAGCAAAGAGATTGTTGATGATTTAGCAGAGCGATTTAGCAATTCTGAATACTATAATTATCAGGAAGGAGATTCCCCAAAAAGTTTTGTCACAAAACAGCTGACTGATGGTTGCGGTTAGAAACGCGTTCGCGGAGATTTGTTAATTCTTGATCGGTTCCGAATCGCGCATGCGTACCATGGTTCGTGATTATTTACCCTATACAGATACGGAACTAGTCATGGATGGGCTCCGCGAACAAAGCTAATATTATAGTAAGAGATCGAACATCAAATAAAATATATAAAACGAATAAGAATCTAACTTACATTATTGAGGAAAATAATTATCTTAGCTTATTTATTAAGTTGATTACTTTTTTTTTAGAAGTAGGCACCCTTGATTTTGTTCCTGAATCAGGGTGTATTTTGATGTAGCACATTTCAAGTAAGTGGGATACTTCTTTTGGATACTCGAGATTAAAATTATAATATAATCCAAATGCTATATAATATACATGCTTCCAATATATCATTTGCCACACAAACCTACTCCCCTTAAAAAAATATAAAAAAATTACCATCTGCAAAAAAAAAAATATTAAAAATCCTTTTAACCAACATATTTTTTTACCAAACTCCACAAAACACGGTGCTGAAATTTTCACTAGATCACTGAGGTTCTCAGATGTGTTATTGGACTAAAAATAAATTAGTTGTATATTTATATAATAACAAAATGATTGAAAATTCAGTATTGCCTTGTTACTCGAAGTGGATAGACGCGTCAAGTAGTTAAAGATTCCTCTCCTAGCAGCGTATACTAGAGAAACGTAATAAAGTTCCAAAAACGAACCTAAGTATTCGGAAATATCGGTAGGTAATTGGTAATAAATAAATAAATAAATAAACAATCAAGTGCGGAAAGTGTGATAAGAGCAAAAAAAAAGTGCAAGTGTGAAAAGTGCGGGAGATCCCCTGTTAAAGCCGTAAAAGAGTGCAACTGAATAAGTAATTAAGGCCAACCGGTCCAACTGGTCAGCAGGGATAGTCACAACCAAAGCCTGTCAATAACCTGCAGGGAGGTCCGGAAATAACGGAAAGACCTAGCATCAGGATTATAGCCTAATAATCAAGCTAAGTAATTTTTCTAACTGCATGTCTTATTAACAAAACCATTTTATTCCAAAAAATCTAAAGTAAAACGTATTATATACCGAAAAGTAAATTTCAAGCCCCAGCAAATAAACATTCCTATTGAGACAGACAACACTCAAATCATTACATAAACAAAACAGAAAAGGCAGATAAGACATTAGCTCCACCCCCAAATAAACACTCGACTAATACCATAAATAAACGCCAAACCATAAATAATAAATAAACACAAACCATAACAAATGGAAATAGTAAACACGATTGATCATTCGGTGGGAATAATTAAGATAATAGCCTGACTGGGTCAACAAGTACATACGCATTAAGACAATGACTAAATAACCACTTACGAACACACATTGAGACATACAGCCCATACTTACAGGATGCGATCCTTGACCAACCCCACCGCTACGCGCATAATAACGACTGGGAATTTAAAACAGAGGCGTACGCACAAAACGGCTTCTGGCTGGGTTTGGAAACAATAGCAGCATCGGACATATTTAACGTCGCAATCGAAATACATCACGAACAGGGGCGTACACGGAGAGAGGAATTTTGCCGAAATGGCTATCCGGGGTATTGTTGGATGACGTATCGTGGGTGTGGTCAACTGTTTTATTGGGCTGAGGATCTGTATATCTAATTTAGCCATACAGATCCGCAGTTTAGTGGGACAGTTGACTGATTTCGCGATGCGTCGTTTGACGGTGCTTTGGATGGTTATTTTGGCAAAATTTTTCTTTCCATGTACTGACAAGATATCGCCCAGAGTCCTCCTAGAAGGAAAAACAATTACCAAACGTGTCAGGGTGGCACAACTAAAATACTGGGCACATGCCGACCCGGAGACGGACACAGAAACTGACGAACCGGAAGTAAACCAACAAAGATAGGAGTAAGCAAATAACTAACATACCCACCCCCCATTCACGAATACCAATTGAATGGGGGTACTACTAAGGCCTAGGTTCAGGAGGATTCCGGATTGTACTTAGTTTTGGGTCAGTTCAATGTCCTCCAAAAACCCTTCCTAAACTGGACGTATGGCCCGACCCGGCTGACAAAAATCCCGGGAGCGGCCTTAACCTTTGACACTGTCATCCACGAACTCCTAGGGTGGATCTACCAGCCGGCGTAAAAACTTCGGATCCAACAAACACAGGTAATGCTGTGATTTGGCGGGATACGCAGGAGAACGGAAAGGGGGTAAAATCAGGGCCGGGCCTAAGGGGGGTGTAGGGGGGGGAGTCACCCCCCCCCAAAGTCTTGGCAGTTGGTTCCAAATCCAAACACGGTTGGCAAAATCTATAGTATTTAGGTCGGTTGGTTGGGTATACCTACCCTACCAACCAACCCATCACAATAAATAAAAATGAAATATAATTTTTTAACTTTACCTACATATTACAAAATTATAATTTGTAATCTATTGTAACCTCCTATAATCGGTACCGTCAAGAAAATTGTATTGGTCAACCTTATTTTTATTAAAGGACATTATATTTCACACAAGCGGCATGTACAAAGTCGGCACCGCCTCGCGGCTTTGTCTTTGGTTTTGGCGGCGTTTGACTCTTTTTACGCACATCAATTTTCGGCGTCTTATTTTTCTAGATTATTATTATTATGAAGCTTATAAGCTAAGTAAAACTAGTGTCAATAAATAGGAATTAATTTTATTTTAATATGGAAAAGAAAGCTAGACCGGGCCGAGTTCTAGTAAAATTATTCATTATGTGGATCTGTGTTTAACAAGGAATAGAAAAAAATGCATGAGAAAAATATTCACGGTGGAAATTTGGTTAAAATTAAAATTGTTGCTGTTCCGGATAATCCATTTACATTGGCAGCAAGTCAAAAAAATAGAGAACGAGAATCAATCCCATCGACTTCAAAAGAGCATGCTAATGGTAGGTAAAGACATTCTTTATCTACACTTTACGGCACTTTACATACATGATAAAATTACTGAAAATGTTTACTATTACTACTAAAGTATCGATATAAAAATAAGTTGGTTTTTTTATCGTCTCCACCCCCCCAAAAAAGTGTGCCTCGGTACGGCCCTGGGTAAAATAACACCGGGA